GTTGCATTGTAGGTAACCTGCAGGAAACAATGCTACATCAAAAATCTGATCTTAATAAAGAAATCTGGACTGTCCGAGAACACAGGGCACTGTATTAACACAAAATCACACAAATAATAGTAACGTGATAAGCTTTCTATGGTTGAGAGCTTAGCTGAGTATTTATTCTCACACGTACTAGCAGCTGAAAAGCTTCTTGCAGACATATCCATGGCAGGGCACCTGCCCTGACTTTAAAAAAAACTACTTGCTAGAAAGGAATCTGAGTTACTTGAATTTTCAATAACCCCAGTGCTCGTTATTTTTGTTTTCATGTGAGTTTCGCACAATTGTGCATCTTTTGCAAATCTTATTTCCTTTATCATGTAATTAAAGCACTTAATATATACATTATATCATTAAAGCTGTCCCTTATCAACGTGGGTACTGGACTGTTTCTTTTTTTTACCATTTGGTCATCAGAGAATCAAAGTTCTCTAATTCAGAATAACTCAATCTGTCCAGTACCTTTCCTGCGTAGTGCATTATACAGAACTCGGTTTTATCTTTGAGTTGCTTGGGCTTCTGGAATTTGGGATGGTTGCCTTGTTCTTGACATAGTTTCTCCACAAAGGATGTGTCAGTAGCTTTGGGGAACCAGCACTCTTCATCCAGCAGAGCCAGGACACCCGGAGGGTTGGTCTGCAATGTGAACAGTATCAGATCAGTATCATCACAGGCAGAGACAAAGAGTGAGCACCACCTTCTTTATCCCTTATGGTGCCAGACATCCCAGGCAACAAAGGATCTGAAATACCTTAAACAGCTCTTGTATTGTACTGATACATAACTGACCCTGGTGCCACCTGTGTAGTGTACCACCTCTAGAGATACAATCTTACCGGTCTTTCAATCAGTTCAATGCAAGGTTGCAGGTCAAGGCCAAAGTCAATGAAATTCCATTCAATGCCCTCTCGCTGGTATTCCTCTTGCTCCAATATAAACATTGTGTGGTTGAAAAGCTGTTGAAGCTTCTCATTGGTGTAATTGATGCACAGCTGCTCAAAGGAATTGATCTGTGAAGAGGGGAAAAAAAGTGAATTCCTGATGTTAGAAAGGGACCTTCAAGAGGGAAGTTAAATGACAAGATGAAATTTACTATCTTCTTCTATTTCTTTTTACATATTACAATAATTCAATAACTCAGTAAGTTCTCAATCTTTGCGACTGAGACCTATTCAACAAACCATAAAAAGCAGACCCTGGCTCTAAACACCAAGCCCCACAGAAGCCCATTAGGAGCCTGCTGCCAGCACCCAGCCCTTCCTGCCCAAGGGAAGGGCAAGCAGCTGGGTGTCATAGGCTTGTGGGTGGTGTTGGCCATGAGCTGTTAGCCAGCTTGAAAGAACTAAATTGTTTTTGTGGCTCTTAACTTTGATTATTTTTTTTTTGGTCATCCTGTGTCCAAACCACTACATGATAATAAGGAATGCAACCAACTTGTGACCCACAGTACATACCTCAAAAATCTCAAATCCAGCGATATCAAGGATCCCCAAGAAGGAAGCACCTTGTCTTTTTGTTTTATCGAGAGCTTTGTTTACACGAGCAAGAATCCAACGGAAAAGACGTTCAAATTTTGCCTTGGCCAAAGCCTCTATGGCAAAGTCTGCCTGAAAAAAAGAGGAGAAAACTATAAGTGAAAGAAGAAACTCAATTAGCTGCTAATTTATGTAGAGATAATGAGACAGAAATCTGACATTTCCCTTTAGACAAAATGTAAGAAAAAAAAGAAAAAGGAGAAGAGTTTCAGGAGAGCTGAGCAGACTGCATAGATACCTGCTCTTTGGTCTGAGCTTTCTGAACAACATCTCGTCCTACTTTGATCCTTGGGGTTAGAATAGATCTTGTGAAATCTGTCACATTAATGCCCATCAAGTGACACACTTTTTGTGCAGCTAGAATAAAAGAGTGAGATTTTATTTCAGATGGAATTTTCTCTTAGCAGGTCAGCAAGTGTGAATACGAGTAGCTCAGTAAGTATGTGAAGTTATTTATCTTCCTTAAAAGTTCCTCTGTTGTACACACAGAAGATGCCAATTGCCATAAAAATATTATTAATGATCCAAGCAGCCGATTCACTGTTCCTCAATTTATGGATGCAAGATTACTAGAAAAGGTAATGATAATTGATCTGATATTAAGTATGGTATATCTTTTAAAGCCTGTGACGTTCATGTGTAATAACAGTTAAATAAAAAATACTGACAAAGAGTGCTTACTCAGCTGCTGTCTTATTAATTTCTTAATTTTAACTAGATTTTTTAAGTGGCAAATCATACCAGTGTTGTCTGGCATAGAAGCTTGATCAGTGTTTCTCTCTTTCTTGAAGACAATGTTACCCAGTTGCAGAACAGATGAAACAACCCTCAGTATAGCTGTAAGAGAAACAGATAATATAGATGAGGAACAGAAGAGACACATTTTGAAAGCTCTATTCTCTGCAATAACAAAAATTCATTCTATTGACTATGGTAGTCTGTGCCTCTATGGAAAGAGCTGGATTTGCTTTAAAAGACTGTGCCATAAACTCTAGGCATGAGCTGACAACAGTCTGTGCAGTGGAGTAAACAGGCCAGTCTGGGAACATGAGCATCTTCAAGCCAAGTGGTGCTGGCTCCCCAGGCAGACCCTCAGGTCTCAGGAATTCTTCTTGCACTCAGGGTGGCCTGTTAGCATTTTCCTTGCTCAGTCACTTGACAATCTGTGTCTCTGTCTTGAAAATAACAGAATATCTATGAATAACCAGCAGATGCAAAAATGTGTGGCACTTCTGAAGCTCCAGTTATGCAGGAACACATGGGTATTTAGTTGTGCAACTAAAATCAATTGTACACAAATCACTGAAGGATTAGTGTCAAAGTACAGAAAAGTGATTAATGCTTGATTACTAAAATATATATAAACGTGATGTTGCCTAACTTCAAGTAGTAAAATCTACTGATATGTTACAGATGAGATTGTATGATTCTAGGGAGTTCTATTTGTTTATTTGGTAAACTTACACAGGAGAAGAAGAGTATCCTAATGGGCTTATATTTTAGAGCATGAAATCAAAGAGGTTCAGACAGTAATAAAACAAGTCCTATTGTTGTAACGGCGCATGCTGCTGTCGACACCAACACATGTGCCCTGCCAGATGAACGAACCAGTCTTCATCAGTAACATCATCTGAATTTACCAAGGCTGAGATTTGCATTGCTGTGCTGCAAGGCAAGACATGTTTTCTCAGTATCCCTCAGTCACTGATGCAGGGGTGGGATGTGGTGGAGCTCTATTCCCGGCTGCCACAGCTGGTCCGAAGCTCAAGTGATGGTGTTTCTGCCACCAGGTGTCACTTGGGGCATGGCCATTTTCCTCCGTGGACAATGCACACTGGCGTGCACCAGCTGAAGCCCTGCAACCTCCCAGGAACAGAGTGGGGCAAAAGCTACACTGATAGATGTCTCTGGCAGGCCCACGTTTTCAAGATGCTGTAGTTATTGATTCATGCTCTTTGCTTTTGTTTCTCTTTTCTCTGAATCAGTGAATACCAATATGAGCTGTTTGAGCCTGTTCCATTTCTTTCAAAATTAAATCAGAGTATTTAGCAACTTTTTCATGCTAATTGTTGGAAAGTTCTGAAAAAATGGCTTTAAATGGTCATTACTGTTGTTAGAGCTGGCTTGAATTCAGTAGTCTCTTCTGAGTATGTGAGGAGTTCTTCTGGTGAGAAATCTTCCCTTTCGTAAACACAAATTACCTTTCAAAACACCGTGTATTATAGTACATTTGCATGCTGACAACTTCACTGATGCTGTGGAATTCAAATGAGTCAGGAGTGCTCCTACAAGCAGATCTCTGGAATTTATGGCTTATAAGAAAAAGCCTTGCAATTCTTCATTCAGATGGACAGCAGAATATTACGACAATTTTTTTATTTGATCCGTATTTAAGTATAGAGCTGCCCTGTGCATCGCAGAGATGATTTCTCTTTGGTGATATATATTCTATTTTCCAACGTAGGTGGTGATTCTTCGATATGTCTTTCACTGTGTTTCCAGCAAGTGCTGCCCATTTAAACCTTTGAAAGAGGTGGTTTGCAAAGAGATTTCATTGTTGTCTTCAGCTGCTCCCACCAGTACCCACTGCAGCAATGGAAAAAGGTAGGCCCCTGCAGTAATTTTAAGTAGAACTTTTCTAACAACAGCCTAAAAGCAGTAGATCATGATTAGATCCCCTTGCAAGGCAAGAACAGTCACCCTAATACTCACAAGACCTCCTGAAGCATCACCCTGTTTAATACAAAGGTGGCGATAATTTTAGGGAGGCTGGTAGCGTTTTGTGTCATGGATCTATGACAGCGGTTTCAGTGCCTTCACTGTCAGTCTGTTCTCAGCCCCTGCTGTCCTCCTCCGGATTCCTGCTCCTGGTTTATGTTGTCTTCAGGCACTGTGCTGCCACCAGTTAAGTTTGCTTGTTGTTACTGGCTCTGACCATGCTGCTTGTGTTATATGATCTTGATCCTGTGTTTAGATCCTGCCTTAATCTTGTGTCTCTCCTGATCACACAGAACTGAGTTCCCATATTTTTCTTGAGGTAGAAACAAATCTGTGCTTGAGAAACTTTACCTTATGAGAGAACCTTCGTTCTCTTTCTTTGAGACATCTATGGTTTAATTCATCTAATACCTCCCAAGAAGGAGGGAAATCTATAGGCACTAATTCATAGGGTACTTCCTAGAAATAGTAGCTAGGTATTGGTTGGTAATAGTTCTACACAGAGGAAATAAGAGGCAAAGAGGTTAAATAACATAAGTACATTTAGAATCTTCCAGTTGGTGGTTCATGCGAGATCATACTTCTCCAGAGAAACATGGACATAAAATCTAAATAATCGTAATTTTCTCACATGAATGTAGAATCTTAATTCATATGCATGTTTTGCAAAGTGATTATTCTGGATAGAATTAACCTCTATGTATTTGTGTCTCTATATGTAGTGTCACTTGCAGATGTACAGCTTGAATACAATCTCGCTAACAATTCTCACCTATCTGTTCCTCCTCAGTAAAGCCCATAATTGTCATGGCTTCCAAGGTCTCCTGGAACATCTCATCATCTTGTTGACCAGGAATAGGCACATGGCCATTAGATAGAAAGGTATAATTGTTGAAGGCTTCCAGCAACAGATCATCTAAAAAGCAAAGAAGAAAAGCTTTACTTAAGTGCATCAACTTAATGCTCTTGGTTCGCGAGTTCTCCCAACAAACAACAGGAAAAAAAACCAGTGTTTTCTCCAAAGGAAAACTCTGCTTGTATGAGGAGTTTAGGGTTTTGTGGTGCATAAATGTTTTCAAAATAACTCTTCATTTAGCAAGCTTGATTGTGTTAAGTTTCCAGTTTTCTTTAGTAACTGGAGAATGTCTCTGTCCCTCAGAGGATTTTTGCACCTGAGCCATTCTTCCCAAAAGTCTTTCTTTCAACACCGTGCATAACCTACTCAGAATTACACCTCTCCCTGTGGGGATTCATATCGGGTAATAATAAGAACGAAACCAGGTAACAACCATAGTAGGCCAGTACAAAAAGACTCTCAGCCATCTGCTGTTGCCAACAACAGATTGTTAAGTAAGGAACATCAAAACCAGGGAAAATACAGAGTTATCTGTTTCTTTATACATTCTTTGGCAACAAGTGATTTAG